TCCTGATAAAGTCCCATCTGAGAGCCCATGGATGGGGAGACGTCTGCGGGCACACCGTCAAGGAGCGCTTTTAATGGAAGGTCCCCGACTGCCCTCACAAGCAGAGCCAGACCCGAGCTGAGGACTGCCCTGCCCTGCTACTGGAGCTGACGCTGCCCTCAGCAGTGGGGTCTGAAGTCAGGGCTGAAACATGGCTTGTTGCTAGGCTGCTCAGGCTCTTCACCTGGCTCTGACGCCGGTTCCCCCGAGCCACCAGGCCCTTTCCTTGGTCTGAATCTCCACCTGGTACCCCAGTTCTAGCAATTCAGTTCCTGCTGTGCTTCCATGTGCCTAAGTTCCTACCTCGACAACCTGCTCAGGTTCCTTGGTCTCTCAAATGGCCAGAGATGTGCTTACATGGGAACACCTGGGATGTTCAGGGTGACCTGGGATTTGAACCTAGGCCTCCCATGTGGCTCCAGCCCTGTACAGCAGCACCCCACCACCTGCAGCACTGTTGCATGGAGTCTGTGTAGTTGACAATTAATAGAATGAAAATGCTCAGGACAGTATCTGGTACATAGTGAGTCCTCAGTAAACTTACTACTATTGTCACCGTGTCCTTTAGAGCAGCAGTGACGGGCACAGCACGACCTTCCAACAAATGCTGATACCCTCTAGTGCTCTTCGTACATTATTCCGGACAGAGACTAAGTCTTTGAGAATTCTTAAGTTCATAGGAGTAAGAGTGCCAAAAAAAGGAAAAGGGAGCTCTACTAAAAAAATACAGTAATTCAGAGACAACGAAACACCTGAGAGTCCACGACCGTGCTCCAGTAACCCTGAAGCAACTCCCAGGCTAGATGCTTCTGTCTGAAGGTGTTCAGGCAGGAGACCACCCAGACGGACGAGGCCACTGTGCACTCTGCAGTTTTTAGCTATGACTGGGAGTCGAAGCTATAAACATTTCTCAGAAGAAAATTTAGGGACCAGCAGGTAGTGCAGTGGTTAAGATCTAGACTCCCACGTGGTCAACTGCTGTTCGAGTCCTAGATCCGGTGGCTGGAAACTCACGCTGGACGCATGTGCATGTGTGCCCCAAATCCCAGGAGAATGGAAGAAAAGGGATTGCGGCGTGGCCATTCCCCCAGGAGGTCATTTCTCACTTTCCCTCTCACTGTCACTCTCTCTCTCCAGCGAGCAAACAGGCTCGAGGGCAAAAACCAAAAACGAACAAAAAAAGATAATTTAACAAGCAGGGACCAGCAGGTGGCATGGTGATTAAGGCGCTGGACACTCCCACATGGCCCACGATTCAAGTCCCAGATCTGGTGGCTTGCTTTCTCACTTTCTCTTTGTCTCTCTCTCTGGTCAAATAAAAATAAATTAATGAATAAATAAAATAAATAATTATAAAAAAATTAATAAGCAGATCAAAAGGATGAAAAGGTTTGATTAGGAGCCTGCAAACCAGGCCCAGTGCTCTCACCAGGTACCCATCTCGTAGTTCCCCCTCCAGAACTGTTCAGAAGCAGATTTCTGGGGCTTAAGCTTCCCAGTCCATTGTATTTTCTTCATTGCAGGGCCCCACCCCCAAATACCATCACATTAGGGATTAAGGCTTCAACACATGAACCTGGGGACACACAAACGTTTAGTCCATAGCGATAAACTGAATTCCCACCTATTTGTGTAGGGTCAACACTCTCACATGTGTTTATTTCGGCATTTCTCTAGTTGATTTGGTCAAGCATGTACCAGACCTTTTCATGATTATAATCCTCGTTGGTTACTAGAAGGGAATCAGAATAGGCCAGCCGGTGGTAGTGCTTAAGGCAGCTGGGCCCTACACTGTTCGAGTCTTAGACCCAGTGGCTTGGAAAAAACACTGGGTGCACGTGCATGTGCGCTCAAAATCTTAAAAGAAATGGAGAAGGGATCACAGTGTGGCTCTCCCACAGGGAAGTGCTCTCTCTCTCTCTGGCAAGAGAACACATCCTCTGGGAAATTAAAAGAATAAAGGGACCAGAAGATGGTGTAATGGCTATGTTGCTGGACTCCCATGTAGTCACCGTGGTTGGAATCCCAGACCCAGTGGCTTAAACTCACGCTGAGCACATATGTGTGCATGCCTGAGATCCCGAGAGGAGAATGGAGGAGAAGGGATTGCAGCATGGCCATCCCCCCGGGGGGGGATTTCTCGCTTTCTGTCTCTCTGTCTCTGTCTTTCTGGTGAGCGCATGTGCCCTGTAGCAAAAACCTCCTAAACAAACAAACAAACAAGAAGAGAATTAGAATCAATTGAGGACTTAAGTCTAAAGTTAAGGAATTAGAAACAGTTGCCAGGACCAGCCAATGGCGTGGTGGTTGAAGCGGCTAGATCTTACATGGGCAACTGCACAGTTTGAGTCCCAGAACCAGCAGCTTGAAAAACACATGCCAAACACATGCACACGTCTGCCCAGAATCCCAAGAGGAGAATGGAGGAAAACGAACTGTGGCGTAGCCAGCCCCTGGAGGTCATTTCTCGCCGTCCCTCTCTGTTTCTCCAGTGAGCGTACTAGCCCCATAGCAAATACAACAAAGTAAAATAAAATAGAAATCATCTTATAAAGATGATGGTGATAAAAGGCCTTGATGAAGTTCCCAAGGCAAGGCCGGATGGATGAGCAGTTTCCTCTGCTGCCTCTGTGGCCTGAACCTGGCAACTCTCCACTACCATTAGCCAGCATGTCTTGGCGATACCAGCGAGCAATTAACACTGGAAAGGAGCCCTCAGGGGAAAAGCCAGATAAAACCAAACACAACTCGGAGCATCGCAAGACCCGCGTTTCTGAGCTGGGCCAGCTGGTGGTGTGCTGGGTAAGGTACTGGATCTGGATCGCACACGGCTGACCGTGTGGCCGGGTCACACACCCAGGAGCTGACTAGCACACTGGGCATGTGTTCGTGCACACACACTTAAAATCCTTAAAAATTTCCCTGGAGGTGCTTTTGTACTTTCTCTCCAAAAAAGGAAGAAGTTCTGAATCATTCTGCATAGAGGTACCAGCTAAATCATAGCTGGATGATTTGGGGCCACCATTTCCCTGGACCACCAGGTCTCAGCCCGTTCTGGTACTTGCACGCTAGCCTCCCTGGTGCATCTGAGCTGGCGGGGCTGGGACTCTCGCGGCCTGCTGTTCTCTGCCTCTTCCCCGATGGCTGGCGCCTTCTCTTCTACGCCTGCCCCACTTGGCTTGGCTCCTGCCAGTGCTCTGCTTTCCTCTCCCTTTTCCCAGAGGCCCGAAGGCATAGCCGTAGCCTCTTCCCTGACCTCCTGCTAAAGTGCTCCACCCTGCACAGCCTGACGGGGCTGGAGATGAACCTCCTCAATAACAGCAGCGTTCCCAGCTGTCACTCTGGTCTGTCTGTGAGTCTTGGTCCCTTGTAGGTGACGGGCTCCTTCTCTTCCCCTGGAGCAGTTCTGCTGGGCCTCCATTTACTTGCAATCGTGTCCCCAAGGTTCCTATGTTGAAGCCTTAATTTCCAATATGATAGTATTTGGAGATGGGCCTGGGAGACCATCAGGTTAGATGAGGTCACGAGGGTGGGGCCCTCGGGATGGCATTAGTGGCCCCTAACAAATCACGTGTCTCCACACGTGATCGCTCTCCTCTCTTTCTGCAAACACGCACCAAGGAAAGGCCACGTGAGAATATAACAGGAGGGCCTGCAAACCAAGACCAGTGCTCTCACCAGGTACCCGACTTGAAGTTCCCCACCTCCAGAAGTATAAAAAACAAACTTCTGGTGTCTAAGCTTCCCAGCCCATTGTATTTTTTTCATAGCAGCCTGGGCAGACTCAGATGGCTACAAAATCTGAGTCAGTCAGTTCAGTACCATCCCTGGAGATGACAGGGCTCTAGTTTTAGAGAGCCTGAGCACTGCACATGGTTATTAGGAATTAAGTTGGTAACAGTTTTTTTTTGGAAACTGTTAGAAAGTAAAGAGGAAAAGGCAATATTACTTTCGGAATAATGTTTTTAAAAAAAGAAGTCCAGTCTAGGTCAACTATATAGCTAAAGTGTGTGTGTGTGTGTTTTTTAAAAGAAAGATTTTTGCTATAGGCTATGTGTACTCGACAGAGACATGGAAAGACAGAAAGCGAGAAATCACCCCCCGGGGGATGGCCACACCGCAATCCCTTCTCCTCTATTCTCCTCTCAGGATTCTGGGCACACACGCAGTCGTGCCTGGCCTGTTTTAAACTGCCTGGTCTGGGGCTTGAACCGCGATCAACTATGTAGGAGTCTAGCAACCTAAACATTATGCCATCTTGTTTCTATTTCCACAGAGAGGGCAGCTTAATAGAAATGGACATGGACTATGGAACCCATGTTTTTAGGAGGCACAAGCGTAAGGCTAAGGCCAGGTAACGTACAGCAGAGATAACGGGAAACTCTCTGTCCCTCAGAGGCTACCAATGGCTGCTGGCAGATGTCGGAATGAGACATTGTTCCAGAGTAAGCACCCACGGTGGGGGGAAGGCACTGGGAGCGTGAGTAGTGACAGTGCCTGGAAGCCGTCACTGGAACTGCACCTCGGCATACCTGGGGGCGGTGCCGAGGGAGCGGTGCCGAGGGAGCGGGTGGTCAGGAGCCCGATCCAGCAGCTGTCGTCACTGACCGCTCACCACGTGCCAGGCTCTGTGCTTACACAGTGTGCATGCGTTTTCTCGACCCACACAAAACAGGCCTGACAGGTGTCCCCACTTCATGGGTGAGGAAAGGGCTCAGGAGTGGTCAGGTGAGCTTGCCCCCGTCTGAAGTCACACAGCTGAGCCCCAGGCCGGTTCCTCTCCGACCTCTTGACCGCCGAGAGCTCAGTAAACGCCTCGCTGCAGCTTAGCTGAGAAGGCGACTTGTGCAGTGAGAAGCACACAGGGTCGTGGGCAGACCCAGGCCAGAGGTCACGAGGTCGCGGTCCCAGGTGGAGGCCCGGCCACGCCCACCAGGCACACACGAGGTGAAGGCCCTCACCTGACAGTGCCGCTGAACAGCACTGGCTCTTGAGGGATGATGGAGAGTTTGCTCCGGAGATCGGCCAGGCCGATGTCGCTGATCCGCACGCCGTCGATCTTGATGCAGCCTCCCGACAGCTCCACCAGACGGAAGAGGGCCATCCCCAGAGAGGACTTCCCTGGTAAGCCAGAACACACGCAGAAAAGTGGCTCTATTAGCAAATCTGGAAAGGCAAGACTGGTGGATCCTCAGGGCAAAATCTAGTTTCCATTCTCTCTCTTTTTTTAAGTTGATGGCATGAGAAGAGATAGGTGAGAGGGAGAAAGTGCCCCTCAGCGGAATGCAGTCACGCTGCAGTCCCTACTCTCGTATTCCCGTCTGTCTGGGTTTGGGGCATGCACACACATGCACCTTGTGTGTTTTCCAGACTGCCAGGACTGGAGTTTGAACTGCAGTCAGCCATGGGTGGGTCCACCTTCCCTTAACCACTAGGCTATGGGGCTGGCCCCTATTTCTCTATTTCTTTAACTAATGAACTGTGAGAATACATAAAATAATAAAAACAGCAAAAAACACTGAACGGTGCTGAGCTTTGGAGCAGATATGTTTAAACCATGCCGCTTCACTTAGCCTGCGGGGCAGGAGGGACCTTTTCACCTTCACGGTGTAGAACAGAAAAATGGCTCCGCTCCCTCTCAGCAACAGGTGCGGAGTTAGTGCTTCTCAGGCAGTTACGAGACAGAGATGGAGGTCTGGCAGCAAGCCACTGGAGCACGCCAGAGGACAAGAAGTCTCTCTGCCCTCTCCTGCAGCTGAGAGACCAAGACAGGCCCGTCACCACAGCCGGGTCTGGGGAAAGGCAGTGGAGGCCAAGGAACTGACAGGGCACATGGCAGAGGTGCAGGGTTCAGGGACAGTGAGGCGTGTCACAGCGATAAGCAGGAAGGTCTGTCTCGAGCTCACCTTCACGTGAACAGTTCTGTGAGCAACAAGACAACACCCATCGCCCATACACTCGCTACGGCAATCGGGACACATTTCCGTCCAGATACTGAATTGTCCGAGCCTTTTCCGTTTCGCGCTGTGTAACAGGCATACAGCCGTACTGGAAGTGCTTCTCGTGATAAAATTATAGTGGCTGCCACACTGCACATCATGGCATGTAGCCATCTTTTTTATAAGACCCCGTCAGGATCTGCCTGTCAGGGGCCTCAGCCTCCCGAACAGCTGGGACTGCGTGTGCTCGTCCGCACCTGGCCTTCGGGCAGGACTGGGAACTGAATATGGGCCTTTGCGTGGCCCCGCCGCGTCTGAGCAGCAGGCAGCGCTGGGCCTCAGGTGGATGTATGAGTTGTTTACCCAGTCCTCTACGCTGAAGTCAGTGTGAGCTTACAGTAAGTGGTGCATGCCTCAGCGCTCACACCGTACTACCTCAGGCCCTGCCCCTGAAACAGCTTCTGAGAACTGAGACTACCACGCCGAAGGAAGGATGTAAGTATTTAAAAGTCTCTCTCTATCCAATGCAAAAAAAGAAAGTGGCCATAGTTCTGTCTACCTTTCTGCAACCTGGCCCTGTGGTTTAGATGTAGAACTGCAGTGTTTTGGCCGCTGGACGCCTCTGCACTGGCCAGAGCCTGGTTCTTTTTTTTTTTTTGAGAGGTTTTTTCGCTACAGGGCGCGTGTGCTCGCCAGACAGACAGAGAGAGACATAGAGACAGAAAGCAAGAAATCCCCCCCCCAGAGGGGACGGTCACGCCGCAATCCCTTCTCCTCCATTCTCCTCTCGGGATCTTGGGCACGCACGCACACGCGCCCGGCATGAATTTTAAGCCACCGGGTCCGGGACGTGAACCGTGGTCGACTATGTTGGAGTCCAGTGACATAACCACTACGCTAACTGCTGGTTCCCGACAGAGCCTGGTTCTTAACCCTCCATGCCCTGAAAGACTTACCTGGGGGCCACATCGCAATCACCGTAACTCTGTCTGTCGCTGAGGTTACACATAGCCTGTCTGCCCCATGTCTGCACCTACTACCCCACAGTTACAACTTGTCTCCCAGGCATACCCCCGTCAACAACCTAATGAGAGGGGCCGGCAGGTGGTGTGTTGGTTGGAAACACTGGACTCCTGCATGGCCGACTGAGGTTCAAGTCCCGAACCTGGTAGCTTGCTTTCTTACTTTTCCTCTCTCTCTGTCCCTCTCTGGTCAAATTATATAAGTACACACACAAACACACACATACACATACACACAAATAAATAAATACCGTTAAATAAAATAGTTTTTTTTTTTTTAAGAATTATTTTATTGGGACCAGCAGTTAGCATAATGGCTACGTTGCTGGACTCCTAGGTAGTCGACCACAGTTCGAGTCCTGAACCCGGTGGCTTAAAACTCATGCCGGGTGTGTGTGTGTGCGTGTGTGCCCAAGATCTCGAGA